CAGGTACTTATCAGCCAGCTTGCAGCGGAGACGTCTTCTTCACTCAAAATGATTTGCAGCAAACTCATTTTGCTTTTTTATTTCTATTAAAAGTAAGCATTCCATCCCAGCTTGTTCCTCTATCTTTTGCACCTGTTTTACTTCTACAAGAAAAAGCAGTGACACGAGCAGTTTCCTCACGAAATCCGAGACCAAGCGCCCATGAAAAAATGTGTATTTTTATTCTGATTCTCAATTTTTACCCACATTTGTTTAAACAAGACGACTTTTTTTTATTTTTGTAAGTAACTTCCTAGGCTCAGAGGGTCCAGAAGAGGGTTCCTGTCTCTTGATGCTCTGCTGAAAACAGCATATTTTTGAGTGAAAAATATTACCTCGAGGAATTTTGAACACGTTCGCTGCTGATTGGCTGATGGGTTTTTTGTGAGGCTCGGTTCGTATGTTGCAATTTAAACGAGGAACGAACACACGGGAGAAAAACCGTCAAAAAAGTGACCACTTAGTTTTTTTATAGTTTTTCAGAGCGGTCAACAACGAAAAGCCGTTCATTGCAGTAAAAAAATTTTCGGGGAGGTTGGGACGATTGCAGGCAACCTTCCTAAATCATTTTAGGTTTTAATTTTTTATCAGTGAAAAAAAGCATTTTGCGGACTTTTTTTTTTAAACTGTGTGCAGCGTGTGAATTTGTCTCAATAAATCCTGTTTTTTATTTGAAGATGGAAGTAGACAACGCAGGCTTGAATCTAAAGACAATGAAGAAGTCGGATGGCTCATATCCGGTTTGGTTCAGTCAGCGGAAGATCAGGCGAAAGAAGCGTGAACAGAACATAAAACAAAAAGCAAAGAAGCGGAAAGCGAAGAAAAATCGCTGTTAATTGTTGTTGCTTGACTGTGTTTCTGATTTAGCATACGGATTTTGCTGTATAAAGCAGGTACTTTCCATAGTGTTGGAACCGGTAAAAAAATAAGTTTTACTAGATAGCCTATATACATATATATATATGTATTTGAAATTCCATTATTACTTGAACTGACAAAGAACATGAAAGGTACTTTGAAGTTCCTGCATCACGTGTACAAACATATCAGGGTTGAGATTTCGACGTTGCTGGCAATGTGTCATTTGGGGCACCAATTTGATTAGAACGTTCTGACTATGAGAATACTCCTTCCATGAGCGTATAAGCTTTAGTGTGCTTTTACATTGCATCTCCGGACATTCAAAGACATTTGCGAAGAGAAGCAATGTCATCAATCAGTCAAGCTAGAGAGCTGAAATTTTACGAGCATATTCTACACCAGTGTCCGATCAACCCATTTAATTTGCTAATCAGACTGAGCAGGAAGCAGTATTTCTGTGAGGATGTTTGCTGTTCATGTGCGGGCCACAAGCGCGAGATGAGCTGCCTAAACTTGAGCTGTTCGTGCAGGCGCATTAAACATGCAAATTGCAACGCTTCACTCACATCCTAGTAGTACAGGCAAGCTCTGCACAGGATGGAACCATAGAGAAACGCATAATTGCTGTGGCAAGTCTGATGCGCCTCTACTTAGGTTACGGCTCACAAGCAACATACTTGGGCGGGCATGCATTCTGGGAGCTGGTGCATTGTTAATCTTTCATTTTGAAAACGAGGTATTTCTCATTTTGCTTAGGCACTGCAACCTTGGAGGGTAGAGTTTTTGACCTCAGCACGAAAGGATAGGTTGAAATTACGTAGCTAGGTGATGAAATCAAGCGGCATAATCATAGCGTGTCGCAGTGATGTACTGAAGATTTGGTAACAGTCTGCATCAGATTTCGGTGGATTGTCCAAAGTGCTAACCCGCTTTATCCTTTACCCTTTCAGGTACATAAAATTCTTTTCACAGCTCGGACGAGACACCTGATATTCTGCAATGCCCTTTGTTGGTGTTTTACACTGTTTCGGTTTTTCAGGCTGTTTTTAACGCTCTTCGCAGCTAGCTCCATCCGCTTATACTTGTTTCCTCACTCGGCCGCCTTCCTAACAGGGTGTTCAGCAGAGCCAAATTTTGAATTGTTCTGGGAATAAAAAACGAAGTCTACTTATAAAAACACATAGGACGTCCAGAACTGTAATAAGGCAATTGATAGCATATTATTGATCTCCTCAAATCTGAAAATACAATCGTCAGATGTTGTCAAGCAGGGTACAGTCTCGCGACTATTGGCGAAACGGCCGTATAAACTTCCGTTGTGTTCCTCCTGAAAGTCTGCAAGAGCATGTACTGTTGTAATGTTTGGATTCATCTTTCTGCTTTCTCTCCGTTAGTCCGTTGAATAGAGATGACAGTCATGATATGTGTATAGAAATATAAAATTATATAAAAAATTGAATGAATAAGAGTGTTTCGGTCTGTCAGTTCATAGACATTCCTATTCAACACCAAAACCGGCGCTGGCTAGTACTATGATTGTGGTGTTAATAAAGTAAAACCAGACTGGAACATACCAGGCTTGCCGGTGCGATCATGCGTTTTTGCACTAAACTCACAGATCGCTAATAGCGGGGATGATTCCCATGCTATAGCTTAACGCTTGGGCCCATATTGGCCGTACTCTGGCCTCTTCCGACATGCACCAGAAAGGGCGTCGGTTGGGACGAGGGTGCTACATTATAGGACCACAGGGACCTCCAGGTACACGATTATCAGTTTTTTGAATGTGGCCCGGTCGTTTTTCTGGTGTACGCTCGCTCTTCGAAAAAATACAAATTTCCAGTTCATTGGAAAGTAGAAATGTTACTTGATTGGTCGTTCGTCAAATAACCCAAATATATAAATGAGTTCATTTACATGTTGAGAGTGACTGAGGGCGGTCGTTCGTTACAAAATGCACTCGTTTTTATGCGTTTTTGCTGTGCAGCGCTATAGCGCTGCTACAGCCGGCAAAAACTCATGTTGTCGACAGGCTGTCTGTGTGTGTGTGTGTTTGGAAAGCGAGCGCATTTTGTCACCCACTTTCATCTCAACAACCAAGAGAGCTGGGAGGCTGAAACTTTAGATACATGTTCCTACCGCGTGTGCCATCCTCCCGTTTTAAGATCTTTCCCCATATGCGCCTAGACCCCGCGTACGGGATCCCCAAAGAAATATGTTGGCGGGAAGCGATTTCGCGAACCAGGCAACGTAGAAAGCGGAAACTTTGCAGGGATATTCTCTGTGCATTTGCGAGATAATTTTAAACTCAGCTCTCTAGCTCCCC